GAAAGCACTTTCCCGGTTTTCTGTTCGCTCCGGGAAGGGCGCGGCAGGGGGCTCCGGGCCGCGCAAGGGAGAGCGCCCCGAGCTGCTGCGAGCTGCGGGGCAGGCACTCTAGTCTCCTGGGCTCTCGAACCAGAGCCTCTTCTCTTTCTGAGCCCTGCCTTTCCGAACCTCTCTAGCCGGGCCACGGACCCACTTGAATGTCTGTGAGCGACCCTAATCCACACACTCCAGTTCCCGGCGGGGCGTAAAGGAACAGGGCCTTAGGCCGGCTAGGGGAGTCCTGGCTTGGAAAGGGGAATGGCGGGAATAGGGGCGGGTGTTACTACTGGGGGCTGCGACTGCCTGGCGGGTCTAGTCGCGCCCTAGACCGTTTTTGGAGCTAGTCTGAGCTAAGAGGTTGAGACGACTAGGAAAGATCCCGCTCCTGTGTTGTGTTATGTCCGTCTGAGAGTGAGGAAAAAAAACAGAACACCAAAATCTCAGACTCTGCCTCCCATCCTGTTGGGAGGTTTGGGAGTGTTAGGGGATTGAGCCGAAAGCCGAGACCCATTTCTCCCTTCACTTCTGGCTTTAAAGTTAAGGAAAAGGTGTTGCCTGAAGAGTGATTTCTTGCGTAGATCTCAGGGGTGCAGAGTACAAAGGCCTGTTGGATCACCCGGGAAACCAAGAGAAAGAGAGCTGGTGTTTTGTCCCAGGGAAGGCCCCAGAAGTTCTAGACCCCTCTCCAGGCCCTTCCTGAGGTTTCCTTCTCTCTCTTAGGGTCAGTGGGGCAGTTCCTTTGGGACTGCATTTCACAGGGAATGTTAGCCTTGACATTTTGGCCTTGGGCCTAATGTCCTGGTTTGGCCAGTGTCTTCAACTCTTCTGGCCCAAGAAGAGGTTAGATGCAAAATTTCTGATCTGGGAACTTGTAACCTGCCCTGAAGTTCCAGCCCCTGCCTCCTACCATCTGGTGCCAACCGTGTTGCTGTGGGACAGCAAGTGGCACATGCTTGCGGAAGTGACTGGTGTTTAGTTTTGTAGTCACCCTCCATCAGCACTACCCACCCTGGGTTGGGGCTGTCTCATCCAGCCTGTGTACAGCTGGACTAGCTAAATTAATGGGAGTGGGGGGAGGGCTGGAAGGAATCCTGCGTGTTCCCTGGATGTACTCACTTTTAAAGGAGATGAGCAGGAGAGTGAATGCCTTCTCAGTCTTTTGAGGGTATCAGGGAGAACCCCTTGTGGTGGGGGGTGGTAAGTGTGGCTGTGGCATACTCCTATAAATTCTCTGTGACTCATGTCCTCTTCCCTCACATCCCAGTTTTTTTTTTTTTTTTGTGTGTGTGTGTGTGTGTGTGTGTGTGTGTGTGTTTTCTCTGTGTGTGCGCGTGTAGGGGAGGAGAAACCACCCAGGAACCTGATGCTGGGTATTCAGCTTCCTAAAAGGAAGCACAGGCCAGGGTCTGAGCTGGTGGTATGTAGGGAGTCCAACTGAGCCAGACAGGATATGGAATTGAAAGGAAAAGCCAAGTTTGGGGCTGAGATCGGGTTACTGTCCCTTCTTAACTGCTCCCTGCCTGGTCAAAGCTTAGACTGAGGCTCATTAGTCTTTTCTTTTGGGGCTCCTCCCAGTCCAGGTTCCAGCCCCTTCCCCCTCCCCAACAGGCTTGACTCCTCTACTCCGGAGCTGGCTGGCACTCTCGCTCCCTGTCTTGTGTAGGCCTGGGATGTCAGTGGCCTGGTCAGCTCCCCTCAGCTGGGAAGGAAGAGAAGCTGCAAAGGTGTGAACGGCTTGTTCATCATGTGTGCTGGGGTGCGGACATATGCAAACCCTGAGAAGCTGACTCCTTGCCTTGAGTCAAAGGGAGGTGTCTGCAGGGCCTAAGAGTTAGCTGGTCTCTAGGAGGAAGGGGCTGTTCAGAGAGTGGGTGGAGGTGATTCCCAAGTGGATTAGCTCCATCACAGCAGTGCTGTGATAGATGTGTGATTCCCCACAGTGTGGTCATTGTCCCCTGTAGGGACTGAGTGGCCCAATGTTGCTGCCAGGCCCCAGAGTGGGGTGGGGTAGGAGGCTGCCTGACCGTGAGCTGCCAGGACTGAGCCTTCTTTGTGTGACTTGAGACTTTGGGGAAGTAGTGGGGTGGACCAGGGCAGCCAGCCAGCTGCTCCCACCATCGTCCAGCTTACTTTGTCGGCTTCTGCTTCTCTTCTCACCTGTGGGGTGCTGTGTAGGCTAGACAGACTGGATAACATAGCCCTGCTTTGAGAGCCGATCCTGCACCTTATGTATCAGACTCTAAATAAGTGTCTAAAATCTCACTGAGCCTGTTTCTTTTTGTCAAAGTAGGATGCCCTGGGGTCAGTGAAATGGTTCAATGGGCAAAGATACTTGCCATGTAAGTGCAAGGACCAGAGTTTGAGCCTAGGAGAGAACTGATTACAAGCTGTCTTTTGATGTTTACATCCACCTAACAGGCAGCTGGAGATTGAAGATTCTTCTCAAATGCCCAACAAAGTGTTTGTGTGTCCACGGAGAGGCGAACACCTTGAGGCTCTACAAGTGTTCCTTGCTTTATCCTACCACCTGTAGCTGGCTTGTGACCAGGCATGCATGACTTCTGTTGAGGGACAGTCTATTCTAGCTTGCATTTTAGTGATTATTAATGAGTCAAAATCCAGGTAACAAATTAAGCTGCTAGGCAAGGCAGATAAATCTCAGGTGTTCAGAGTTTTGCACGTGAATGAGTAAGATTTAAGCAGGTATTCCTGGCTCCCAAGTGTCATCATCTTCCTCCTCCTGATCAATTCTAACCCATCCAGGAAGACCTGTTCTGACCAGCATTTCAAGGTGTTTTGCCTGCAGAATTGGTTCTTGGCAAGAACATGCCTTGGCAAGCCCCCTTCCCTTCCTTTGCTAGATGTTGTGGTTTTCAGGCAAACTCGGGGGCGCTAGAGAAGTGCTTTTGGACTTACTGGATTTTTTTCTCCCAAATCCCTACTGCCACCTAAATGCCAGTTTCAGCCATGGCTGCAATCCGAAAGAAGCTGGTGATTGTGGGTGATGGAGCCTGTGGCAAGACCTGCCTTCTCATTGTCTTCAGCAAGGATCAGTTCCCAGAGGTCTACGTCCCTACTGTCTTTGAGAACTACATTGCAGACATTGAAGTGGATGGCAAGCAGGTGAAGGCCAAGACTTTCCTGCCTGGGAACCCTGGCCCCAGTCCTGTAGGGCCCTAGTATGCCCTTTCTTAGGGCCCACGAACATCTTTGCTTCATTTCCCTGCTGCAACCAGCAGAAGTTTGGAAGTGAAACTGTAGCCCTAGAAAACCTGGATGTCCTATCTGGTTCGACCACATACTGGCTCTGGAATCTGAGCCAAGTCCCTTTGCCTCTGGGCTTAACCTCTCCCCACTGCAAAATGTGAATGAGGGCAAGACCTACCCCAAAGGGTTGCTGTAAGAATTAAACGGTGCTTACAAAGGCAGCTCATACTACACAAGGATCAAAACCACCTTGGATTGTTTTTAAAGTGTGTTGTTGGTTTTGTGATTGGTCAATATAATTCAGCGCATAATGAGTGCTGAAAAGATGTTAAGTTTATAAGACTAGTGATTTCAGAGGACCCCAGGGTGTTAAGTTTGGGATCCCTATATGTCAGGTGGAGCTGGCTCTGTGGGACACAGCAGGGCAAGAAGACTATGATCGCCTGCGGCCTCTGTCCTACCCGGACACTGACGTCATCCTCATGTGTTTCTCCATCGACAGTCCTGACAGCCTGGGTAAGGCTTTGGAGGGGGGATTGAGGGCTTTTGGTACCTGCCATCTTAAGAGGCTGTGGGGAGCGAGTGTTGGGAGCATGTAGGCCCTGCAAGGTCTCCTTTGCTATGGAGACAGCCCTTCAGGTGCGAGTGATCCACTACAAGGGGCTTTGAGCTGTGCAAGGGTACTGCCCGTTCCATAGTCTCTGTGACCGCTGTGGAGATGGGGCTTCTGATGCTCTGTGGGTGTATCTACACCTTTTGGGATATCTGCAGAAAACATTCCTGAGAAGTGGACCCCAGAGGTGAAGCATTTTTGTCCCAATGTGCCCATCATCCTCGTGGGGAATAAAAAGGATCTGAGGCAAGATGAGCACACCAGAAGAGAGCTGGCCAAGATGAAACAGGTACGTGGGGCAGTTCTTGCAGGAGGAAAGGCCTCTGAGGGTCAGAAAGGGCGATGGAAACAGCTGACAGCCAGCCTTAGAAGGGACTGTGATGTCCACCTGCCGTCCCACATCTGCATGTTGGGAGAACTAGAGGGTCTGCAAGTACCTAAAGTATCAGAGAGGGCATCTAACAAAAAGGTTTATTCCAGCTTATGGTCTGGTCTGCTTTGGAGTTGGGGCGCCAAAGATGAATGAAGAGCCATCCTCATCCTCAGGGGACAGCTGTGTCATTAAGAGTGCTCTGGGAGGGAGAGCATTTTTAGTGGCTGGAAGAAAGGCTCAGGGATGTACACGCAAAGACTTGCTAAATGACTCTAGTCAGAGGATGGTTTTATTTAGAGGAAGGTAAGCAAGGTAGGCTATCTTGGGAGGATAATTAAGGTTTTAACTGGGGACAGATGTCCAGTCTGTATGTTAGTAAAAATATTCTGGTTGCTGTGTAGAATGGGCTAGAACAGTGATTCTCAACTGGTGGGTCGAAACCCCTTTGGGGTTTCGTATCAGTCATTTAAAGATTCATAACAGCAGCATAATTAGTTATGAAGTAGCAATGAAATAACTTTATGGTTGTGAGTCACCACAGCATGAGAAACTGTATGAAAGTTGAGAACCAGTGGACTAGATAGAGGAAAATGAGAATGGAGGTCAGTTGGGCAGTGGACACTTGTTTAGAGGAGAAATGGACACTGTAGGAATAAGGCTGGGTGGGAGGAGAGAATAGGCAGAATTCTGAAATGGCAACTTAGGTCTTATGGTCCCAATCTGGAAACTGCCAGTGGTAGCTGGGACCTTGGTGTTCTGCTGCAGGGCTAGTCTGTAGGATATTTATTTACCCCTGCTTTTTTTTTTTTTTTTTTTTTTTTGACTCCATATCTTGTCTTTTCAGGAGCCTGTTCGATCTGAGGAAGGCCGGGATATGGCAAACAGGATCAGTGCCTTTGGCTACCTTGAGTGCTCAGCCAAGACTAAAGAAGGGGTGCGGGAGGTATTTGAGATGGCCACTCGGGCTGGCCTACAGGTCCGCAAGAATAAGCGCCGGAGGGGCTGTCCCATTCTCTGAGTTTCCCAAGGTCTCTCCAATTTTCCCTCCTTCCTTTTCAAAGGGGTACAAATTATCCCCATCCCACTCCATCCTTCTAGGACTCCATGCTGCCAGTTTCTTTTTTGGTTCCTTCCTGCCCAGGACTGCATGAGTTTGTTTCCCCAGCCCCAAGTGGGGGCTGGTAGGCCCTTTCTTCCCTGCCTCTGGGAACCAGGCTGGTGCCCTGCCCTTCCTGTGCAGGGCTCCTCCTGCTGCGTTGGTCCAGGGGTAGGGCTCTTAGTCCTTTCGACCTTCCCCATATCACACACCAGCACTTTATATATTTCTGGCTCACAGGAGGCATCTGGGGTAGGGACTGGGATTTCTGCTTTAGGTAGTAGCCTTGTCAACGACTTTACTTGGTGGGAGGGCAGGACATGAATAAAGGTCAAAGGTTGCACCATGTGTGGCAGCTTCCTGTCTTTCCTAGCCTACCTTGGCTCTGAGCCTGGAGTCCCATCTTTTTCTCTTCATTTCCAAGTTGCCGGCTGGGCCTGGCCTGTCTGCAGAGGCAGGGTTGGGGGCGGAGGCAGCAGGGGACAGGGTGGAGTCTAGAGTAAAGGATGAGGTCATATTTGGCTAACTGCCTGGGTGGGTGAGGGGAGTGGTCTGTACCATTGGCTAAACATAGAAGCCTGTGGGTGGCTTCCCTGTACACTGAGTTTCCTGTCCTCCACGTAGTTATGAAGGGGTGTGGCGCTGGACAGACAACCCTCCTGGAGGGTCAGCTTGGGGGCACAGGAAGCAAAGCCAGGCTGATGAGACATAAGCAAGAGACTTTTGCATAGAACGGCATTTTGTTTTCCTAAAGCAGCTCAGCGACAGACTGCTTGCTTGCCTAGCATACTCGCAGTTGTGGGTTCAGTCCCCAGTACTGCAAAGGAGAGGGAGGGAAAAAAGCTTTCCTTCCTCCCCCTTCCTCCAAGTTTTAGCAGCTTGGGTTATTTTCCCCAGCAGAGGAAGGGGTGGAATGGTTTGGGCTGTAAACTTCCCAGCCTTCCTGTCTCTTGCAGGGACAGGTGAGCTGGGTTTTGGGTCAGGGATAGGCAGCAATAAGGCTTGGCTGGTGTGAGAAGGCAGGCAGCTATATCTTCAGAGCTCATTTCTCCACTCTGGCTCCACTTGTAAGGGCAGGCCCCCTTCACCCTCCCGCTCCTGGGGGAGATTTTGGTGACGCCGGGGCCCTAGGAAGAAAAAGAGACATGTATTTTTGCCTCTTCTTCCCACAGCATCTCTGCCTGGCCCACCATGGCCCATCCATACCTGAGGTAGAGGGGCTGAGTTTGCTCAGGCCTTGGAGTAAATCCTGTCCCTGCTGCAGGTCCAGTTTGGCAGGAAAGGGGCATCCAGTATACCCCCCGTTTTCTTTACAGAACTCCAGGAATCTGTGGGGTACAGAGACATTGGATAGGAGGCTGTGAGAAGCAGAGGCAGAAGGCAGAGTGGCTCACCCTTACTTACTAACCCAGGGTGGGCGTGTGAACACCAATAGAACTGAGGACTAACGGAGTGTAAGTGGGTGCTTAGTAAAGACACCCGCCCTAGCCTGGGGCTCGTAGTTATCAAGAACGATTATGGGGTGGGAGTGCTTACGTTTTCCAGTCCGGGTCATGGCCTAGGAGGAGGGGGTTGCCCACTACGATGAGCAAAGCCTTGGCCCGGGTCACAGCCACGTTGAACCTCTGGAAGGAAGAAGTGATGATGTCATGGAAGGGACAGGCTCTGAGGAAGGATTCATGCCACCCACAAGCCTGCCTACCTTGGGGTTCTTAAGGAAACCGAGGTTGAAGTCCAGGTCCAGCTGTACAAAGCTCTGGCTGCTTCGGACGGTGGAGATGAGGATGACGCTTCGTTCTTGCCCTTGGAATTCTTCCACAGAGCCCACCTAGAGAGCAGAGGCCGGTCTGAAGACCAGGCAGGCCTAAGAGGAACCTCGGGACAAACCCGCTCAAGGGGGGGCAAAGCTGCCAGGAAGGTACAGAGCAGTCACTGGTTCCTTGTAGCTCAGTGAGAGGAGGCCTAAAGAACAGAGCCAGTTACAGGGTGGGGCCTGGAAAGTATTCAATGCAAATCAAGTGGCAGGCCCTTTGAAGCATGCACTGAGCAGAGTTCCTATCCCAGGAGACAGTCACTAATTTGGTCAGAATTTCAGAGGGAGAGGAGAGGCCTGTAGATCACAAAGCAGTGGTTTTCAACCCTGGCTCTACACATCAGAACCACCTGTGGAGCTTTAAAAAAATGAAGCTGGGTGGTGATGGCATTCATAATCCCAGCACTCGGGAGGCAGAGACAGGCTAATCTCTTGAATTCGAGGCCAGCCTGGTCTACATACAGAGCAAGTTCCAGGACAGCTATGGCTACCTACACAGAGAAACCCGGTCTTGAAAAGCAAAAATAAATAATAAAATAACAACAACAAAAAAAAACCCACCCTGGCTTTTTCTCTAGACAGCTATGCTAATTGTCTGGGTGGGACCCAAGCAGTGGCATTATTAAAGTTCTCCAAGTGATTTTTAGCTGAATCAGAGTTGAGCCACTTGTTCAGCCGAAGAGTTAAGCTACAGAGGGAGCAAGGACACAACATCACATGACAGGCAGGGCTGGTCTAGAGAGTTTGGACTTCATCCCTAGGGCAGAGGCCACACACCTGACTGATAAAAGATAGCGCTTGTTAAACAGGCAGGCCTCCAGGTTCCATCTCAGAACACCTGGGGAAACCCCAGTTTCATTTGGAGGAAAGAGGGTGGGCCAGGACACAACAAGGGTGAGGTCAGAGGCACGTGGAAGTCTGGGAGAGAATATGGGATGTATGTCACCTTCAAATCCTTGATGTCATCCAGTCCTCGAAGTTCCCGGTCAAGTTTGGTGATGCAGTACCGGATTTTTTCTACCTGGAGGGAGGAGATAGGTTCCTTTTTCTCATGCCATCACCCCACAAAGAGGGAGGCAGAGGCAGGCAGCTGGCCAGGGTGCTGGCGGGCAAAGAGGGAAATCCTGACCTGCTTCCGGTATGGGGAGATGATGCCCACACTCCGGGGGCTCAGGCGGGCTTTACCCTTCTTGGAGGAAGGGGCCAGGAGCTGTTTCAAGTACGATGTCACTGTGGCGGCCTCTTCAGGGTTGAAGAAGGATGGGCTATTGCCCTCTCGCTCATCTTTGCCCATTACACCATGGAAGATGATGGGGAAGCCCTGAACACAAAGTGAGAAGAAACCCTCAGGCTGATCTCCTTGCCTCCCTGCCCTCCAGCTCAGATAGGGAATCGGTTCCGAGCCATAATGACAAAGGGAGGTCTCTGTGCCTTCAGGAGAAGGGAGTCAGGGTCCAGGGATGGAGCCCTGCCATGCTAGGCCTCACCTGTTGAGGCAGCCCCTCCCAGCGGCAGAACCTTTCTCGGTCCACCACATCTGCACAGGCCTGCAGCTCTCCATCATAGTACAGCCGGTTAGGGATGTCCAGGATGGTGGGGTGAGACCTAGGAGGCAGGAGGAGAAAGAACAAGATCAAGGCCCTTTGGGGGAGCCCTGCTCCATGTGTTCCCCCTGCCCCAGCCTCTGGCCCTCCAGCCATGCCCAGGACACATTCATCATCAGTGTCTGCTGCCAGGTGCTATACACAGCAGAAAGCCAAGCCAAAGTGGTTCTAATAAGCAATCAGGCTAGGGCTCTCACTGACCCGCCAAGTTCCTTTTCAAAACCAAGAAATTAGGACCCATTCTCAGGCTTTAGTTTACTGAACAAAAACAGTCCAGAAACAAATTACCATCACCACTTAATTAGGTTATACCCCCAAAATATAAGTATCCACCCAAAAGCATCTACAAAACTTTTACAGTTATCACTGTGTGGTGTGGGTAATCATGCTTTGCTGTGTGGAGGTCAGAGGACAACCTTGTAGTGTCAGTTTTCTCCTTCCACCTGTAAGTGGGTTCACCAGTTTAGGAAATCCAATTTAGGTTGCTAGGTATGTGTTCACCAAGTACTTCTACCTACTGAGCTATCACAACCCTGCCATTTTGGGATGGTGTCTGACTGTATAGCCCAGGCTAGCCTTTAAAATCTGAATCCTGTCTCACTCAATCTCTAAATGCTGGGATTACAAGCATGTGCAACCACAGCCTAGCTTATATTTACCCAACGCTTAAAAGATTTTTATTCTTTTTAATTATGTTAGTGTGTAGGGAAGGGGGGTATGCAGGTGACCATGGAGGCCAAAGGCGTCAAGATCCCCTTGGAGTTAAAGAGTTAGAGGAGACTATGAGCCATGGGTGCTAAACATGGGTCCTCTTCAACACTTTTAACTGCTGAGGCATTTGTCCAGCCCCAGATTTACCAAACTCTCACTGACGGTCTAGAACTCACCTAAGCACTGACGTTAAACTTACTAGAAGAAATTCGTAAGATGGTAAGGGTGGAATGTACCTACTGTCCTAGATACTCAGGAGGCTGAGGCAGGACTGCTTGAGTCAAGAGTTAAAATCAACCTAGGCAAAACAGGCAGACTTTGTCGCAAAGGGGAGAGGAGAGTCGGGGATGTACATTAGTGGTAGAACACTTGCAAGCAACATACATGCAAGGTCCTGGGCTCAAGTCCCAGCACCCCACAAAAGTAAAAACTGCAAGTACATAGGCCTCAGCTGTGTATGTAATTCAACTAACAATGGTTTTAAGGAAAAACTTACATTCCCTTTCTTTTTCCTTGTTGGATTGCCTAGAAACTTAGACCCATCCAGACACATTCTGGTCTGATGACCTCTAATATACAGGTAAACCACTGGTCCAAGAAACAGCTGCCTGCTAAGTCACAGGACAAGTAGCTGTAAGGGGGTGACCAAGGAGACATCCTCTTCTACCTGAGGCGGGGACCATGATACCTGTAGTTGCGGAGCAGTTTGGTGATGAACTGGGGGTCATAGCCATTGGGGCCCTTCTTGTATAAGGAGTTGTAGGTGAGTAGGCGCTCCAGCAGAGAGTAGCCAAGCCCATGCTTCTGTGCCAGTGGTGAACGCAGCACAGGCCCCAGCTGCCGCGGGTCTCCTGCCAGCACTAGCTGCCCTCCTGGATTGCCCGTTTCCTTTACATCCAGCAGTCCTGAGAGGCACGGGAGAAAGAGTAAATGGTGGGACTTACCCAGTTGGTGTGGGGTGGTGTACCTATAGCCCATCCTGAGCCCCCTCACCTGCTATGGCCACCAGACTCTCAGGCTCCATGCAGTGGCCAGCCTCATCGATGAAGATGTGTGTGAAGTGATCGATGGGAAACTGGGCTGACACCAACCTGGGAGTGTCAGGCCAAGCAGGGGTCATTCCCAGGCACCCAACTACCAAACCTGAACTCTGGCCCTTCATTTCACCCTGCCCTCAGGGACCCTTCCTCTTTCCCTAGCCCTACACCACTTTACTTTTT